AGAAGGACGACACCGGCGTCGTCGTCGTAGTCGTCGACGAGAAGGACCATTTCCAGTTGACTGGTGAACAAATTTCAAACTCACCCTCTCGATGATAAAATCAGACACCGTCGATATCGTTGCTTTCGTGTTCACGGTAAAGGTTAATGAGGGTAAAGCATACCGAAAGTGAAACCGGTGTTTCTTGCTCCTCGGCTTTGTTAAAAGTTACAAAACGATTTCTATGAACGGTGGATATACCTATTGTAAAAAAAAAAAGAATTATTTCTCAAAGCATCTTGCTCGCAGAAGTGGAGTAAAACGGTTCATCGACCTTCAACTGATGACCAGAGAGGGTTGCAACGTGGTCGCGTCGCGTTAAGTTGACATTCGACGAGGAGGACGGTCGAGTTGTAAAAAAGTAATCCGCGATGGTGATTCATTTGCGCGCTAGCAAAGCGTAGAAACGATTGTGATGCAAATTTCATAAGCATCCGGCGGATTGGAGGGAAGGTAACGAGCCGAAGGACATCGTCCCGGGAAAGGACTTTCGAGTAAACCCGTGCCTCCTCTCGTCTCGACTTCCAAGAGTGGAATACGTAAATCTGTACCTGGGAAGCGAACCCCGGCTAGATGGGAAAGTCTAAACGGGGTGGCGAGGCGAGGCGAGCAGACAAGACACTGAGATTCTTAACAGAGAGACCTTGACTCGGGGAAACGAGCACTCCGCAATTCGATTGGCTCCGAGCGGCATCGTGCATATTAAGTTGGCGTTATTTGAATGTCAAAAGTGCCCTGGGATCGGCGATGCTGTCTACGGCTGGATAGGAACGAGGGAAACGAGAGAGGAAATACGTTGGCAGCGAGATGCTGAGAGTCGATTTCGTGGCGAACTGAAGAGAAAAGAGGAGGAAAAGATAGAGAAAGAGAGAAATTTCTTGGTGCCGATACGCCTGGGTATAATTGAAAATACATTCGCGTCGTTTCGTCGTCTGTTTCGTGTGACGAGAAGGTGATTTAAAATCGAGGGATGTAAATGCAAAGAGGCGCCTGGCGAACGTGATAAATCATCAGCCGCGGAATTTACCACCGTCCTACCCGCTTCTGATCGAATACTAATTGCTTTCGCCATTTCTTTCGGATCACTGATGCGAGATGTTTTTTATTTGCAAAATGATCATTGAACGCGAACGGAATGTAGGTCTTAAACAAGCTGATATTCGACATGCCGCAACGTTGTCCGGTAGTTTTGACGAAAAACATCGTCGAACGGTTTGCGGCATGATCCATCAGATGCACTGTTTTAGTATGTCATGCTGCGGCCTAGCGAGTCATCTCGGAAATAGAAATCTCATCTATCGGAGACCAGGCCCGATACCACAGGATACTATATCTCCCTTCTCCAGGATTAATTAAGGCACTCTCCGCTGGTACCACAGGTACCACAGGCACTCCTGGTAGGCGAATCAATCGATCAGGTTTACCACCTTACCGCGTTATCTCCCAGCCAATTGACATTCTCGATGCATTTTGTATTTTCAACCGTCCCTAATTAATCCCGAGTACCTTTGGCCGACTTGGTTAGCCCGAAGTATTCCCTTCGCGCGTACAATTAAACGTCGCGCGACATTAATACTCTGATTGTTGAAATTTTAATAAAATCATATATAATTTGACTAGGTATCAATAATTCCTGTCAAAATGAAACAATTAAGATACAACAACAGGCTGGAAAATCGAGCAACGAAAGAACAGAGGGGGTTTGTAAACAAGAGTAAATGTTCCTCGCGTCCATGTTCGCGGCAATGTACCAGCGATAAATCTAAATTTACCGGCACCACGAAAAACTAAATCCTCCGCAATTTCCGTCCGGACAAGAAGCAAAAAACTTCAAGAGCTGAATTCTCGCTGGCGATGTATCATAATAACGTTCCCTTGGCTATGGTTCTCCAGCCTATGCTAACCATAGCAGACAACCAGCTCGCGATAGCTCGACGTTTCTTCCCCATGGAACTCCTTAACGCTCCAATCGTGCCCGGCCATTGAAGGATTCGCGAATTCACCCTGAATTTTCTACCCTTATTCCGTGCCTATAATGATGCCAGATGAAAAATGCATAAGTCGAGGCTTTGTTCCATACTAGAAACTTTTTGTATCTTTTCATAAATGTTTTTAATAAAACATGGAAAATAGATTACGAAGTAGATGAATGGGAAGCTGCTTTATCTCTTCATGTTTAACAAAATATTTTCATCTACTTAAATATTCCCTTCACTATCATTACTGTTACCATTATCTATAATCTCTTGTTGTAACTTATACATAGTATTACGATATAGGTAATATCGTCGTTTTGTTGTGAAAAACAGCTTTCGGGATCGATCCGACCCTTTAGCTCGAACCTGGAGTTCTTACAGGCCGTGAATAGTGATCATACAAAAAAGAGGAATTTTGAAAAACGTCGAGAATCGACGTCTATGCATCGTAAAATAGACTTGTTTTACCTCCAACGCTCATAAATAAATCATTCTATTCATGTTGTTCAGTACAGCTAAAAGAACTATTCTTTCCTGAACTAATATTAAAATATATGAAAGTGTAATGAATTAAAATAATTGGAGAGAAGCTTTTGAAGGTGTCAAAATTAGTCGCGCAATTTGAAACTGCAACAAGCTGCAAGAATCGAGCAAAGTCCTTTCCATTCTATAATGGAAGAAGGAAAAAGTCATCAGGAGATCGATAAATAACCCTTATCGGACTCGTGACTTACGAACGAATTACCTAGTCACCCCTCGAAGTTATCTGTCCCATACATCATCGACGTTCACCCGACGCTTGTCCGTCGCTTGTTCCGCGTCCTCGCTGCCGTTTTCCCATCATCCTGCGCTATTTATCAGGCAGGTTCCTTCGTCGCGACGCGTCCAGGAGTTCGTTAACTTTTTCCTTGGCCGCGTCACGTGCCGTTCTAGACGAGGGTGTACGAAAAGGCATTAATAAAAACGTGTCGCGCCTTAGTTCCACCCTTGTGTTCTCCACCTTCGTTCCCTTTTGCCCACCCTCGTCGCACGAACATCGACGTTCGTTCTCGTTCCCGCACCTGTTTCGAGATCCCCCTTTTTTTCCCGAACGCCGGACTAGCTGAAAAACACCCGCGTAAATTACTCGAACGCTCGTAATGAATTTCAAACAACTTGTCCGTTCGCAACGGGGTAGTTTGTTCGAATACGTTTCGCGATTACCGGAAACGATCGATTTGTTATGAGCGAAAATGAACTTTTCTGGGTTAAGGAATAACCACGCGAACGATCGCGCAATTTGGATACTTTGGGAAATTGCACGGTTCGGCTTTTATTTGCGAGGATAGGTCGCGTTAAACGAAAAAGCGCATCTCGTTCGACTAATTTGATAAAAGTTCGCGGTGGCGCTTCGCGATTGGCGTCTGAACCGAGAAACGTTAACGTTAATTATAAATCCCGGTGGAATAACGGTAACGAACGGAGAGAGATAGAAAGACGGGGCGAGAGGAAAAAAGGCGAAAGTCCCTGGGAATAGTTCCAAATGGGAGCCATTAATTTTACTCATCCGCCTAGCGGCAATTCACCGCGTAATAACGAACGTGAAACGATATGAGAAAAGTTGAGATACCTGTCCTCTCGTGCCACACTTTCTCCCTCCTCTGTCGACCTTTTCTCTCCCTCGAGTGGTTAATATAAAATCGCATTTATTAACTAAATTTTTCCTTCCCCGTTAATGAGACAAGGTTTAATGTTACACACGTATTTACATATCTCTATCAATCTGAATTGTTTCTCGATGAGTAAAAAGTCGTTATACCATTTATCAAGGTACTATAAGATATTATTCTCGAAGGTTTCTTCTGTTTGATATGAGTAAAAATTGAACTATGTTAAATCGAGCGACGTAGTAGGGAGGTGGTAACAATATCGAACGTCTACCGGTTGGATGCAGGTAACGGAGCGAAGGGGTTTCGAAGTTATGGACGGAAGTGGTGGTTTTCGACTCTGAACCGTTGCACCACTTACATGGTCAGTCAATTTGCGTAATGAAGCAGCGAGGGAGAGCGGGCTCTCGCCGAGGGCCAATTACGGTCGAAGAGGGACGGCCACCGTACTTAGCTTTACCTAAAACCACGTTGAACCTTCGCAATCGCGGAGGTCCCCGTGTCCCGTAGTCCATTGACGATGTTGTAATTGCGTCACTTGTCGCGAGAATCGAAAGGGACTCGCCGACAGATGGTTCCGTCGAGAGGGCATCGTTATAGTCCGAACGTCCAGCCAGAATCGACCAAAACGGACAAAGGGACTTGCTACAAGACGAAGGCTTCTCTCGATTCGAGAAGAGAAACTTTTCCGGTCCTTCAGACGGAACATGGACCGTTCGCGCGTCTGCACAGTCCATGATTATTCTTCAGCTTGGAACTGAATAAATGTTTATGGAAAACATTGACCCTGGAAGGTCATTCTATCAAATAATTTTATACTTTTCCAAAGAACCGCGAAACGATATTAGACCCATTTAAATTCAAGCCCAAGTCGCTCTGATCGAAGGAGAAAGGGGTAAAAGATCTTTTTTTCTTTCTTCTGTGTGACTTCCATTTCGCGCTCGTCATCTCGCAGACCATTTCACGGTAAAAGTGGCGAGGACGATGGCGTTTCGTAACGGCGTACGAAGCAACCCCTTCCAAGCTAGGGTCGTTATCCCCGTGATTACAAATTTGTGGACCAGCAGAGGTAGCTCGTTTACGTTGAAACAGAAACGATACGGGAAGAGGAGCGTGTGGAGGTATTTCAGCGCGCACCATGCAACGACTCTACGAAAGAGAGGGTGAGGGCGAGGGAGGGAGGAGGACGGTTTCGAACCGAGAGTATTGTACGGTTTTATCAATGGATTCTGGGATATATTGTCTCTCGCATGAGCGATGCTGCATTGTGAATCGCGCCAGCGGGGGTGGTTGCTGATTGAAAATGCACGCGGTCTTTCCTCCCCGTGGAGACCTTGACGGATAAAAGAGCGAAGCTATCTGTCTACGATAAGAACTCGCTGAAATGTACATCATAGAGCTTTAATAAATTGTATTATATTTTTCATGAATTCCACTAATCTACCCTCAGCTTTCTATATAATACATTCTGTTATCAACAAATTGATACCTCGGCTATACATCTTCTCAATTCGGAGGTTTAATTTTTTCAAGGAACCGTACAGTCGCGTAACAAGCGCGGCTAATGAGACAGTGAGATTAGAAACGTAGGTATTTCTATCGTAACGGACGGTCGTATCGGCGAGCGAATTTCGAATTCAGCTCAGAGACGTGGCGAACGTTTTGGTATTCACGTCGTGACGCTCGGTTCGCGGAACAGAAACGACGGCGGGGAAACGATGAGAAAGTTGGAACAAGAACGGCTACGAAAACGGAGCGAACGAAGCTACCGACAAACACGAGGTTTGCGAAGCAAATACCTGTTCGTCGCCGGAACTTTCCTCTTCGCTATGCGGCACGATCGACGCGCGAATTTTGAACCTTCCTCGCTGCGGTACATTTGCAACAAACCGAGAGGAACCCTTTGCCAGCTGCGTCATAAAACCTCTCGTAGGCGTTTTGTAAATGTTTTAGTTTACATTATCAGAACAGGCGTGAATGATAATATTTTTCATTCTCCAGAGTCGTAAAATAGATGCAATCAATGGTAATGAGAATGTAAACAAACGATATCGCACTTGAACTTGGAGATACCACTGATATTATTGACTAATGTCAAAAGTTGCAGTTGTAAGTTAATCGTCGGCGCAGTGGAACGGTGATTGTGGAACGACGTTCAAGAAAGCGAAATATTACACTAATTACAGAGAGGAAGTTTCTTGACGGCTACGTAAGGCGTCCTTATAACTTGTTATTCTTGTAGTAAGTATAATTTATTAAAATAAAAAATAAGCGTTGAATATCTCGATTTGTCTCATGTGGTTCACGTTTCTCAAATGCTTCTAATAATATCGAATCTTCCATTCGATATTTCAACGTGACGCTGAAAGAAATATTGCGACGGGCTGATTATAATTTATCGCGGAAACGTCGGTGCCGGCGCAACGGAACCCTTGGTGGGAAGGAAAATTTATATCCGAACCGGCTTATCAACTATGTGACACGTCGTATCGAGATCTCGTTAAAGGCGCGGAAACTGGCTGCTCGCTCGCGGTCGATCGTTGCTCTCGAAACGATTTGACGGCTGTCTCATGCATAATAAGGGCCCCTTCGTTCGTCGCGAATCTTTATTTCGCGCTGGAACGGGCAATCCGCAGAGTAATATGATATTTTCTGTCTGTTGAACGAGAACTCGAATCCCTCGAGGCGTACCGCCAAGACGGACGACGATTCCTCAAAGAGAAAATAATGTTACGTTCTGCTAAAATGCAAGCTCTTTGAAAGCTGATCATTGAAGCACTCTGCTCTTATTCTTCTTTGAGTGAAATCTTAACACTTTTATCGTGGCATATTTCGTGCAACTTGAAGTTACTGTTTATATCTACCTACATAACAGGAAATTACCGAGAGAATTGAGTCTGAGGGTTTCATTTTAAGTACCCTGCAAAATTAGTAATCGAAAATAATATCCGAAGTTTATGATACTGAAATTCTCTGTATCCTCGCTTTTTGGCCTCACGTTCCTCGTAAGATATTCCGGTACCGTGACGGTGGTTCGCTAGAAATTCGCTCTATCAACGGTCTAACGGGTGGAGTAAGCAAATCTCAACGAACCGTATTCTGTTTATCGCGCGTTCACATTTATTTGCATGCGTTTAATGTTGAAATCCCATGCTACGTCGGAATAATATACGCAGCTTATTTCCCTTAAAACTCGGCCGTTCGCCACTTGTGTATCTAAGAAATTCAAATACCGCAAACCAGACCGACCGACCGACCGACAGTATTATTCTGGTTCGCGGTAAGCGATGAGAAAATCAACAAGAAAGCCAGCCAACCAGCCAACCAGAGCAAGGTTCCTGCCTCGTTTCTCCCGGGTCCAGGGCGCCAGATGCTTCCGGCACTCGATCATTTCTTAACGCCACAACCGTGATTACCTGCATCGATTTGTTACCAACAACCAACTAACGCCTCCGGTAATTTTTCTTCCTCATAATAACAGAGAGCGAGAAAGAGAATTACCGGACGGCCACGCGTACCTCGAATATTTTTCAACGCACCGGCACCAGAATAAAACGTTTTCATCCGTCGCTGGATTAATTGCGAGACGGGGAATAATATGAACGCGAGCGTTACCCGGTATCACTGAAAAGCGCCAGCGAAATTTCCACGGCAGAGCCATTGTCGCGAAAACGTTTGTCGCCGAGCGGATAGAATCCTTGTCGCTTGTCGGTTGCTTTCCTAGCTCGTTCTCAAATTGCGTCGAATCGTCAATTAAATTTTCGGTTACCAACGGCAACGTGGACCCGAATTAACACGGAGCTTCGTATTATCCGATCTGAAATTTCCCTTGATCACCATTTCATCGCAGACTGGAATGAAAACAGGAGCTGCTTGTCGTCCACAAAGTATACGCGGTTCGAGTTCGTTAAATCTCGTTTTTTTCAACGAACAACGGGTGAAAGAAAATAGGGAACAATTCTTGGATATTGATTTTTTCCAACTGGAAAAATTCTTTATTAAATTCAAACAGAACATTTTTTACAAGGTTCATGGCGCCTAGAAATTCAACAGACGAAAATTTGCTCAATTTGCATTTAGGAAAATGACCATTCTCACGGCATCACCTGTTCCACAGTGCTCTGTTTATACCAGCGTGTAATTTCCGGCGGTCGTTGACTCGTTAATTTCTCAGCGTCTCGTTCGCGGTCATTCCCATCCGTTCTACCCTCGGTTTCGGCCTCCTTCAACCCCGACACGTCGAACGGCCAAGCATCTCCGCTTCGTACGGGCCTGAGAGCGATCTCTTCTATACATATTCATGAGGCAATAAGCCCGTCACTGATCTTCCGTGGAATGGAACAACAAGGGAAGAATGGAAAGTAGGGAGGGACGCTCGTCAACCCCTTTCTCTCGAACGTCTCGAACGTCCCGAACGACATTCTCGCGCATTCGCGACCCATCCTTTTCTCTCCTTCCCTTTGTATCGCAAACTCAATAACGAAGCTTTTCGAACAATTCTTAATCCGTTTAATTCCGACCCACACAAAAATGTGTTGATTATATTATGTTAACCCTTTCACGGATTTCGAAATTTCGTTTAAGTATAGTTTTAACGAATCGGTACCGTGTAAACGATTTTGTCAGACAATATTAAGGGGAAGAGTTTGTACGGACAAGTTAATACTTGCTCGACGAGCCAACGAACCCATTGTTACACGTCGACGAGCCCTCGTTGCAAGCTCTATGAAAAATACAGGAGGAATCGTGGCGGTAAGTACGGCATGGGACCCGTATAATCACGGCAACATTGAGAAATGACCGAGCTGCTGGAGCATCTGGTGCTCGGCATCAGGAAACGGATAAAGCTTCCGCTGCTTTTCTTGTTGATTTCCTCGTGGTGGCGCGCGAGCGAGAATAATATTCCGGGTCCCAGGACCGGACCCGGCATCAGCTGCCAACCTCTCAAGATCGATACACGCCGTTGTTATTGCGTCCGGAAAGCGGATATCGTTTATCCGCAAAGGAACAAGCTCTCCGATTTCAGGATGTCTGCTGTGAATCAACCTTAGATAGTTCCGCGTTGTCCTCAAAAAGGAGTAAACGCACTCGCGAACAGGATGCTCAACGACGTAATATGAAGATATATTTTGGTCCATCATCAAGGGACAAACATCTCGAGCGAGACAGGATGCGGCGTTCTGAATCTGAGCCTCGGATCCGGTAGCGTCACGAAACAGGACAAAGATCCTTCGGCTTACGTTTATCCGTTTACCCGGTGACTCTATCCACCTAGTTTTGCCGCAGCTTTTACTTGTTTTAAGAAAAGCACGACGTGACCTGCCGCAATCCTCCTTCGCGTATCCCAGTCACATAGGCTCCTGCGTACCGACTGCGGACCAATCTCTTCTCAGAGACGGCTGCTCGGAATATCGGCGCCGTTTCGAAATCCCAGAGATTCTGCGAGACGATTTTCAGATACGTATTACACCCTCCGGGAAGATCCTCTCGACGTGACTCGAGAATTTTCTCCATCCATTTTTACTTACTGCAACCAGACCAAGGTCTGATCACAGATGGGTGTCTTACCTTTAACTCCTTCAGATTACTTCGAACTAGACGCGATAATTTCTTTGCAAGATACACGTGGTCCGTCATCGATTGTATTTGATTGACAATATAGGGCGCACACTGCGCATCATCGATTTCGAGTGTGTTAACATGTCAATTATCGTATCAGTTAATTCAGATCGCAGCTGATTGTTGTTATCGTAGATACTCCGGCTTCGATAAGAGTACGCGTTCCGCAATCTGTCAATTACCTCGAAAGCGCTTATCGATTACAATAAAGAAAAGTTTTGACATGCTAGTATTCCATTCCTCACCGTGTACCTCAATTTAACGCGCAATTGATGACACGTGATTACATAATTTAGCATTGACTCATGTGTCTCGTCTCCCCTGGTATGCAGTACGTCGTTGCAGCTTGCAGTTCGTGAATAATATAGCCTTTCTGCGTTTGAAAAAATATCGCACGACGTAGATCGAACGCAATTAAAGACGTGCTTCGATTAATTGATCGTGACGTAAGCTTCAAATTGGTGATAAAATAATTTTGAAATCAGGCGATAAACGACAGAGAATTATGGAACGGTGGGCTGGTAAAAATGCGGTTGTTACCGGTGCTGCATCCGGCATCGGGGAAGCAATTACAGCTGCTCTGTTGAAGAACAAAGGGAACGTGGTAGCTTTGGACATACGATTCGAGGAATTGCTTCTCGCTGCTCGTAAATGGGAACAAATCAAACACCGTGGAAACATTCGATGTATGTACTGCGATGTAAGCGAGCCGACCAATTTGGAGGAGGTTTTCTCCACCATAGAAAGGGAATGGAAAGGAGTGGATATTATGGTAAACAATGCGGGGATGGTCGACTACACGCGCGTCATTGGTAAGATGTTACATTTAACGCATCGCCAACCATCGTTCTCCTAGTCATTGACGCATTTTAAAAAATTCCATAAATTACATTTGTAGAGAGCGACTGGGAGACGTTTCAAAGACTGTTAAATATTAATGTCCTCGCGACCTCCATGTGCGTCAATTGGGCGGTGCGCTCGATGCGCCAGCGGAACGTCGAAGGGCATATTTTCAATATCAACAGGTACCTATTGTTGTTCACGATCGTCTTGTCAAGTCGTTTTCCACTTCGAATTTTTATCGATTCCCACCGTCATGATGCTTTGTATCTAATCATTAATTCGAAGGGGTAGGTTTATCAAATTCGCATCTTCTTCGAGCGTTCACAGTCCTGTTTGAACCACAGAATTTTATGACAAGAGTAGGAATTTCATTGAACGTCGATCAAGTATTTTTCATAGCTACTACTAGTGAATAGAAAGCATACTCGTTCGATGCTTTTAAGACCGAAACAATCGGTTTGGTTGTTTGCGCTCGGAGTTGATTCGAATAAAACTCTGTGCAAATGGTCGGCCATGGGCGACTGGTTGTTGAAGCAATTTTTTGTTTCGCACGGTAGCGTGCTGGGACACGAAATTCCGAACGGATCCCTTTCGGAAATCGATGGCTGTAATGGCTGGAACCTGTACCCGACTTGCAAACACGGAACTGTTGCATTAACGCATACGGTGCGGCGGGAATTGGCGGCCATTAAAGCACCGATTCGAATCACCGTAAGTCCGTGCGATGTTACGCGAATTTTCACTACTGGAAAATGCTTTCCTCTAAGACCATCAGTATATTTGTAAGCAACGAGCATTAATCTGTGATCAAATTATTTTTCGAACACGCGCCTTTTCATGTTTTATTCTTTCTTTTTTAGAGTATCTCTCCTGGCATAGTGAACACCGGTATAGCCAAACATGTTTCTCAATTAACGGATGTTCTGAAAAGAATTCCCGCACTTCGACCAGAAGACGTCGCGGATGCACTGATTTATGCCCTCGGTTCTCGACCTGAAGTACAAGTAAGAACGATTTATGACTTTCTTATGCGCGATAGGGTAATATTTGCAAACGCAGTTCCACAGAATTTGGAAACTGTGTTTTTCATGGAATTTTAGATCTCGGAGCTTACTATTCAACGCACAGGTGAGCCGTAAATATGTGCAACACAGTACGTGTACAAGTAAAACTCATTAGAACGTAATGAAAAATACTATTAATTTTTTAATTACGTGGATAATAAAATTTAGTATATTGTTTTGCCGTATTTTTTGCATTTACTTGATAAATATACAGGGTGTTTGACTAGGGGTGGGCATTTTTTATGGAAGTGGTAGCTGGGGTACTTTCTGTACAACATTTCCCTTCGCCGAAATGCTCATTAAGGCTTAGTTTTTGAATTATTAATGAAATACGCCGAGCACATATGCGCGGCTGACTGAGTGTAGGCTATGAACCGACGCGCGGTGAAGTAGTTTGTTCGCGACCACAACAGAGCACGCTTCTCGTATCCGGCACTTCCGCATGCGCATGCGTACTACGCGCGTTCTAATCGGTCAGTCGGCTTTTTATTATTATAATAATTTAAAAATTAAGCCTTAACGAGGATTTTGATGAAGGAGAAAATGATTAAAAATCACCATAGCTACCAGGTGGTCCTCGAAGGATACATAGCCATAACCTAACATCCTGTCAACTATCTGCGTGCACCTTGACCAAGTAAGGTTTTAATTAGTTTTAATTTCATCATCGCGCGAAATGCGTTTCATTCGCACCCATATTACGTGGTGTTGATTACAAAGTGCAAATTGGTCGTACGCAGTCGAACCATAATTACAGAAGGCCCGTACTCCTTAGAATTCAATGATTGATGCTATTATTGGGCTGCGTGACCAGACTCGGTATTAATTCGGGTTACGCAAGCAACAGTTACTAACTACAAATCTTGCCCGTTCGACCGTGGTATCTCTAATTAAGCCATAATCACCGATACCAGGCGTGAGAACGGTTCTGTCGCGTTGCGTTCGCATGACCCGTCATTAAATATTCCGTGTACGCGACGAGAGTGTATTTCTTGCGCTGATTAATGCACCGACCAATATAATTTACGTAATGCGTTCGCTAATAGACCACGGTTCGCGATTTCGTTAAATACACGGTCCACTCTAAAATTTGATCGCAATTTGTAGCGACGCGTAGGACCCGACGTCAAACAGCCGCTCGATAATTGAGCGATTCGTCCAGAGACCTGTGCGAATCGAATTTCCATAGGGGACGAATATTTCATCGTTTCAAAGATGTTTTTTTTTTTCGCAAAATTTGTTGGTTATTGTGCTTTTGAAAGAATTAGTGCGAATGTCGTAACGCAATTAAAACGAACAATGGTTTACGATATGGATTTGGAAATGTGGTGAATTCTCGCAGAACACATAAATTTGATTTCTTTCGCGTTGTGAAATTCCTGTCGAATCTTAATGTCGCGTCGCTTCATTAAGAAGGTCCAGTTTCAACGTCAGTCTTTTGTAAAACTTGAACGTTTTTCGTTCGATTTCACGAATCTCAGTTTCACGTCCATATTTCTCCCGACATTTTTCTTCCGGCCAACGAACTAGAGTACGAGAAACGAAAGAAACCGTGAAAACGAGCGAGAGACGCATAAATATGATCGATAAAGACGTACAGCTCGACGATGCTGCGTCCTTCGTGGATCCGGCATCTAGGAATTTATATTAAAATATGCAAATTTATCGGTGCGGGCATATTTGAAAACAGATAAATTATGCTGGCCATGTATCGCGTTCCCGTGGCAAAATATATCGACGCACGGGGATGAGGGTGGCAGCGGAACCGGAGTTCCTCGCATAACGGCACGTTCTGTCGCCCGGCAGAAATACGATTTATGACGATCATTGTGTAACGATCATAAATTATCTTGTTATTTACGCGACTGTCCAACGCTGATTTTGTTCTGCTTCGTTTTTACTCCGTCCATTTCGACCACCCTCTTCCCGTTCTTCTTTTCGATCTGCTCCGATCGATCAGCCAACTTTTCAACCGCATTCGTGTCACCGACTATTTTATCAACGTTCTCTGTTTGCCTTCGCACGCGTTATCATCAAATCAATTTTACGTTTTCCATTGATATAGAAAGGAAAGATAATTCTTCTTTTAATTAAAGGTAATTATTATAGACATGAAACCTCGGTCGTCCACTTTTACGTTCAAAGAGTAAAGTATTTTCCACCGTAATATTCAGGACATATTTTCCCAAAATTTTATTTGCTTAATGTGTTTGTTAAGCAATGAGCAGAGACGTTTAATTCATTCCAAGGCAAAGAGCAGTGAGCCCCACGTAACTTCTGTTACAGGGGGCTTACTTTTCACAAAATAAATGAAAATTCAATGAACGCTTAGTTTACGGAAACCGAATAAACGCGGTGCTTTCAACGAATGAAGCAACGAATGAGAACGTAACGTTAGATTCGTATCATCCAATTTACGAAAGGGGACAGTAATTTTTCATAAACTTCGAGGACCTTTTAATCTTTCACGAATGTTAAAAGCTTTTAAGCTCAACATTTCTTATTTACTCGGATCTCTGCTACCTTCGAAGTATCTTGACGGTTTTTGCAAACATCCCTCTGAATGTTTTAAAATTTTGAAGAAAGTCTGCTGCTTTTCAGCATTTGAAATTACATCTTGCAACATGTTCTATGTTCTTTTTAACGTCGCAGTTCACCGGTTTTCGATGGAATTATTTTATTTTTCCCGAGAGACTCAGAATTATCACAGTATAATCGACGAAAGAATCTTGCAACGAATTTCACTGAAAATGAATGCATTAGGTAGTAAGATAATTCCAAAATTCTTTCATGATTGCCAGTTGGATCTCGTTCCACATTTTTCCCTATCTTGAAAACTTTTCGAAGTACACGAAAGAAAGTTGCACGCTTTAAATACCATTATCGTTGATCGTCATTAATATTAACTTTTGCAAGTTTCCGACGCTCGAAAGTCGAGAGGTTAAAGTTTTCGCGCGGAAGCGGCGGTAACGGTGCGCCACTTTTTCTCCTCTCTTGCTCCGTTAATTGCATATTCGGTTTGAGAAATCGCAATATCAACGTCTACCACCCGATATCGCCGCGAGTTTATAAACTCGGAATTCATTAAAACACGTTCGTACAGATTTATCGGCGGTTCGGTGTGCGGCGTTGTGTTACGAACCCGAAAGTTGACGCGAATTCCGTAGATTCCTGAATCTGCAAGAGCCGCAAGTCGTTCGAGGACAAACATCCCGACTTAAGTTCCTTAAACGTGTTCGTAACTGTTTCTGACAGCCGACGCGACACCTTCCCTCTGCTAACTGTTGTTTGACCGCGTTTCGTCGTTTCTCGCATTTGAATAAGTCTCGAAGCGGATTCCGTGCGCAAAACTGCCTTTGATCAATTAACGAGCTCGAAATTAGTTTACCCTTAAATTCTAGCATTGAATCAATCTCGATTCGCGGATTTCGCAATGCGGTGAATTGCGTTCTTTTGACGATTTATACATGCAATTTTTTCCCCTCCGTGCTCCGTCGGGTCGTTCACGTCGATAGTGGATATTGTTTCAGCGATCCGTATCGTTTCGAGCGTAATGGATTGACTGTTGCGCTGTAACTCGATCTACCGTTCCATTTAACAATATATTCGTAAGTTTATGTGGCTAAGGGATTTATAGCGTTAGCCGACGTGAAATAGAGAGTATATGTATACAGAACCTTCCAGGATATTGATTTATAAGGGATCGTAATTGAAAGAGCTGTACTAAATCTATGCCGCGAAAGATAACAATTGTTGATTGAAATAATAACACTCTTCGTCCCTTAGGAAATATTTCCCTGTCAAAATTTCAACCTTGCATAATCTATCTTTCGAAGTAAAAAAAAAAAAAATTCAAACTTCTCCTCTCATTTTTAATGTTTTTGTCACATTCGCAACGATACCCCTTGTTATCTTGTAACGAATCAGCAGAGTATTTACATTCGTTTCTATTTATGGTCACGTCGCGTCGGGACGGTATTCCTCGTCGCGTTCACCCCAATTACTACCGCACCCCCTAGTTTGAAAATGGTGCCTGTGCAAAGTGCAGCGCCATGGCAAATTGGATTAGCGTTACGTTACTAACGGCGAACCCTGCCGTTGCTCCTATTCCTCTTCTAACCCCATTCTATCGTCCCCGTGAACTGCATCCACCGAACGGGCCAAGCCGTTGTATTTCGTGGCTTTGCTGCGGTGCACCGATCCTCGTTCGCCGTTCGCACATCTTAGAATTTCCACGTGGTCTGCGGTCAATTACCATTTTCACTTTCCCTCTGGTATTTCTATTGTAAGATTCGTGACGACACCTTGAACCGCATTCCCCTAGGTTAAATGGCAAAAATGTCCCATACTCTGCGAGATCATTTTAATGAAGAAAAATAAAAGGTTTCCGTTCAAATAATCATTCTATTTTGTATAAAACCGCAATTTACCCCGTTAAATTCATTATCACATAAGCTGGTCGGTTAGAGAAGAGGAGGTTGAAGCTCGGATCGAGGTAAAGTGCAGCGCACGTCTCGCTCGGTCGCATCACGTGCACGTCCGTGTTAACACCGCGAACCACTTCAAATCTGACACCGGCTTGGCGCACGTACACCGCCAGTTAAAGCGTGCATGTTTGCACTGTCAGTGTTCCGCTAACGAACCTATCGTTGTGGCTTCAGTCAACCTTCTCTGAACCCTTTTCGTGGCCTCCTCGCCGTTCCTCGTTCCCGCAACCTCTATCATCAATTTTCCTTCGCTCCACGTCTTCTCCATCCGATAGTACAACAGTGCATAGCCTTTCCAAGTGACGCTAAACACTTTGCGTGTGGTGTTCTTCGAAGTAACTGGCTTCAATTAGTGTAATCGTTTTCAAATGTTTGTTGTAAACTCTATCCTCGGTATCTCCTCTCCAACACACAGTTTCATTGTTCATGAGAAACTCGAGCTAGCTCAAAAACTCGCGGTATCCTAATTTCCATTGGAGATAGGAGATCGCGGTATTAAGTTTAAAAATTCCAGGCCCAACTTGGGAATTGCCACGTTCAAAATAGCGGTAACCTCCATAGAGCTTGTGCTTTCAAGGGAACAAATGGAATACGTCGCGAACAAGTGTGTAGCCCGCGGTTGTGTAGCGTCTGACCTTAAGAACGTCCCTCTTTGCAAGATTTTTTCTTTTTTCTTTTACTCGTTCCTTCATGATTCCACGCGATACAAGCTTAATAAAACGCGCGCCGCGCTGCACGTATTCCGCTCACCGAACAGCTTAGCTAATACGGTTTAAAGCAACCGCGTTATCTTACGGTCCCCTTACCGAATCACCCGCTTGAATCTTCCACCGACGTTTTCCCTTGCTCCCTGTCTCGGCTCCATCCTTTCCCTTAAGTTTAATCCACAGTTGCGAAACTAGCAGCCGGCCGAGGATGAATTTCATCGTACTAGCGTCGATTCTCAAAGTGTTCAGTTTATCGACAGAAAATCTCTGTACTAATTGCTGCGTTCTTTTTTTTCATATTTTGTGCAAAAGGTGTAAATTCGTTGGAATCACGCGTTTATCGGGCAACGAGAATGAAAAATGATCGCAAACAGGCGGTAATCGCGCGTTAACGAACTCTTCTGGGATTCAACCGCGTTTCGAGGCTTCGATTTTCCGTGCTCGGATGCGATTACACGCGTTTTCAATGCAGGAATTTTCTCCCGTCGATAAATTCGAGACACGAGCGCCGAGCTGTATATCGTTACGGTCGAAAATTCCTCTGGATTTCCACGGTTTATCTCGGCTCGAGAGCGTTCGAGGAGGCACGGAGAGAAGTTCGAGTAGGGAATCTAAGCCCCGCGAGAAAGATAAGCGTTATTTATCTTGCATTTGCAAGGAAAAACTTCCGCGGACGGTTATCCTTCTTTTTGACGAACGGACGGGAAGGAGCAGACGGTGGAATCCTTTCCAAGAGCGAGCTGTGACTGTTATTAAAAAGAAACGTTTATCTACCATTTATCAGCTGTCGTGGTAACATTTGCCTTCCAGAGAACCGATCCTTGATCCCAAACCCGTGGAAATTTGCCTTAATGACCTCGTCTGCCTTTCCTACCCTACCAATCACCACCATTCCTTCTCCCTTCTTCGATTCGTTATACGCATTTAAGATAATTTGAAATATTCTGCTCGATATCGACACCCTCTCGACTCGTCGCGCAACGATCGGTTCGGGTAATGGCGGTCGCGTGTCGAAGCGTTCGCTTCGCTAAAGGTTTAGTGGAATTCTTAGACGACAGCTATTTGCGAGGATTACTCTTCCATGATTCATGAGCGCCGAACGTGAGAAATGTTCGTCCTTCTTATCCCCGCTACCATTTCCCAGACCCGAAGAAACAATGCGCTTTCTTTTCACCATTCTCTCTCAGCGTCTCGCGACTTTTCCAACCCTCTTCTCGGCTGATCGTCTTCCCGCGTTATCCTCAATTTACAGGAGAATCGCGATTCTGGTCGCTTACCACGGGCCTGGCATTAGTCCATGGCTTGAACTCGCCAGATCAACGACGACGCCCCCTTCGTTTCCGAGGCTTATTATTTATTTTCCTCGCGTTCAGAGATAGCTCTTTTTCGAGCCTTCAACACTCCCAGCTCCATGGTTTTATGACCTCGCTGTAATGGGATTATCGGATAATCCGCTAAGCTGTTTGGACGTTCCGTCCTTTGGAATATTTCAGCCTTCGCTTCGGGGTGATTTTATTCGCTTTACTTTTCTCTCCGCCCGCGCGGCGCGGCGGTGCGGCTCGCGTATTTTCAGCGTATCTGTTTATGCCCTTCTATATACCGATTTATGTACATACTCGTGTTCGATTTAAACAGCCAATAGAGAGAGCGACGATGTTTACGGTTAAGGGAATAAATATAAGCGAACGTCGGGGCACTTGAACGCGAATACCCTCGAATCGATTTCAAATGGGGGTTGTTTTCAGACAGAAACGACTAATAGCGAGAGATCTCCTTGTAACAGGTTCGCGAACCACTCGTTTGAATATGTATCGCCACGAACATAAAGTTATAAAAATCTAGCGAGTGGAAATTTTGAAATGGCGAACGAGGTTCGTTTATCCGACGATAACTCGTAAATCACGGAGCGGCGAAGTGTGTCGGGGGCTTTGATCGCGCGGGAAATCGAACCATGATAGAAATCTGGCCGCGTAAATAACCGATCTCGATTTCGGGGCTCGTGGAAACTCTAACAATTGCGCGACCGGTTGCGGCGATGGCGTATCACGCATGGGTTGCGCACACCATCGACGCCTGCCCGCTCTCGTATTTACAAGCAACATAAATAAATGGAAATTGCTAACCGTTGTAATGCTCGGGAAAGCGCGTTACTCTCGTTCACCGTCGGCCGTCGCTTTAATTATACTTGGTCGAACTATGCGGAGAGACGGCCACGTCTGTGTTCCCGTTCCGTTCGCGTGTTCGTGCGCCAACGAAACCGTCGACGTATCGGTGGTCGAATCGACGGGAAATACTCGATAAATTGGCCCCGGGCAAAGTATTACTTCAAAATAAATGTTACGGGCTAATATCGGTCGTTTCGCCGTGGCGCGACGACGTACCTACGGTAAAATTGAAAAGATATTACGCTCGCGCGCTTTTACAGCGTCGCTTTAAATTGAAACGTCATGTTTTACTATCGCCGGTCCACCAGCAATAATAAATATACCGTCGCGTACGCTATTCCCCCTCTCTTCTTTACCTCTCTCCCAGTTTTTTACGACAAATCCATGAACGTTTAATCAGTTTAACGATCGCGATCGATCACCCTATGTACGAATTGTTTCAGATTTTCACTGCAATTCAAAGTTAACATTGTTCGAAGCATTCCGGGTGCGAATTTTTTCCCATTTCGAATAATGTTCCCTGTTAGTAAAATATGAAACTTCAACGTTTCATCATGATTTACGACAGTGGTATCGTTTCCCTTTACCACCCTGCCAAACGAGTGATATCATCCCGAATAGGGTCGTCGTTATTACAAGTAACGTTTCGCAACCGGCCCCAGTGTAACTCGCACTTCAGAATCGGTCCGCAGGTAGCTGAATGACAGCGAAATAACGTCGTTAACGACATCATCAACCGACAGGCTCCGTCGGGTGCACTTAACAGAGCCACTCACCGCCGTTGGAATCATTGTTACGGGAACCGGGTGCGACGTAACGACATCAGTCCTGACTTAAATGATATCCTGCAGTCGCGTCAGCGTGTGTGCACACCGCGTTATCGTCGTCATTACGGCCATTATCGTGGGAACCGGCGCCATCCCAGCTCTTTGACGTGTTCCTCGCGTGTTGGCTCGTCGTCAGGCTTCATTTCGACGACGAAAATCGCGTTATACCGTGCGGTTTATTAGTCAATCGCGGAATAATCTGCGTCTAGACAGAGCCTAATTTTTGAAAATCAATGTAGCTCTGCTCTTTGAAAGATTTCATGCAATTTCAATCTCGAACGAACGTCTATTAATTTATCGCATCAGTCTGTTAGCCTTCGTATTTAACACGCTTTCTTTGGTAGCAATTTCTGTGAAAGCGCGGATCAAGAATGCTGCCAGACGCGTATCGTTTCTCCAATGGTGGAACACAAGAGCATTGTGAACACCTCGGTTCATGGTGTCTCGCGTTAATCACGTCGCGAAGGTATCTCCCTTTCATGGAACACTCTGGAAGCCATCGTATGCGTGGCTGGCACGAAAGTGACCGTCGTTATTGTTTCGTGGATTTCATTCGACGCTGTTTACCGGACTCGTTCGCTCACACGCAAATAACGTATTCGAGTAAGGACTGTCTGGAGATGAAGGGATTCTTTGAAAGTCGAATAGGACAGAGATATTGAAATGAGACGTTGCCCTTTTCCTCGTCCTCGTCACTCTAACGAGGGAACAGATCCAAACGTCTTGTGGTCTTTTGTCAGTGATATATAATTGTAGTCGAAGGACAGTGACCTCTTTTAAGAGCAAACCATGATAAATTTTACTTTAAGTAATATTCTTTTGTTTTAGACGCGATTTTTATCTCATTCTAGTCATCTGTTAGACAGTTCACTTAGAATGAAAAGTTAGTGAAAAATATTTCACAATATTTTACGAGTTTGAATCGAAGAAGAAGTATATACAGGGTGGTTGCAGGCCAGACGGTAAATTTTCAACGAAGCCTGAAAAGTAACGGACGAACAAAAGCAGTCGACTTTCCACGTCGCGAGGTCACAGATAAATTTCCGGCCATCCTCAGCCAGGGTATTAACGCGTCGGGTTAGCCAAGGGTTGTCAGTCGTCGCCGACTTGCCACCCGCTTAGGCTTTCGAGCGCGTACCGGAAGTTTCGGTATACACGATGCGCTCACGAGACGGGAAGCTCACAGAAGCTTTCGCGGTTTGCCTGCTGACTCTGCCGCACGTCTTATCCGCGCGGCAATCCAAACTTTGCTAAGTCAATAGAGTCGGTCCTCGCCGGGATGAGAGGCTTCCACGTCCTGCTCTTCGATTAGTTTCGTTCCACAGTCCCGTTGCTCTCCGAGCTCCAACTTTCGAGTCGTAACGGCAGGATGGTTTGTCTTTTCTTTGACTTCCATCCTCTCTTTTCGGCTTCTTTCGCCTCCTCGTTTTTCCCCTCTGACTCGAAACCAAGTAGAAGATCACCCGTTCCCTCGATGCTCTACGGCGACCAACGATATTATTGCTTCGTCTAACGCACGCGATACTCTTGTTTTGATGAACGTTCGAGCAATTTAAGGGATGACATTTAAAGGGTGAATGTAAACCTTCGTGACATTCCTATGTGACATGCGTGTCATTTACTAATTCGTAACATTGATTCTGAAGATAGCATTTCCTAATAAGTAATTAAAGACGCCGTTCCATCAGAGAATCAGGGTATTCAAAAAGAAGCGAATAGCTGTCGAAAGAAGTTAAACGGAAGACAACTTAACAATTCATTAGAACGGCTGATCAAACCTCGGAAAGTTAAACCGAGAAATGACCAGAGAGAATTCCGGATGCGATCTCCGTTGGTTCTTGCAGCGAAACAGGAGGTCTCCTCGGGAAATTCAATTAACCAATAAACGCTCGCAGTTACGATTGAAACGCGCCAATAAAAATTTCACCGTTCAGTGGCTTAATCAGTCCTAAGGGATCGTGACGGGGGGCTGTGGGTGGGGGTTGAAAGGGGGTCGTAATTCCCGGACAGCAAATATTAACGAAGGTAAATGAATCGAAAGGAAACTGAAGGAGGTCTTCGACCCGAAGGAAAAAGGGAATCGGCCTGGTACGATCAATCGAATTATTCTCGTTGGAAAAAGACGTAATTATATAAGAGCCAGCGAGTGGTCCGAGACTAAATCGCCAGAGACAAAGGAGCCACCTTTTCCAACGGTTTCTTTTCTTCTTCACGGTCGATGATTAAAGGCGTGTGCCTGACAGCGAGATGCACGAAGAATAAAGGAATGATGCGGTCTCGCGTCTACAGGGATGATGAGGAACAGGGATAAAGGTGCAAGACGGGCGTACACCACCGTCCAAAAGTATTTCCTCGCTGTTTACATGTTCACTGACGTAGCGAAAGCTATCATCTTGACGATATTCGGATCGCTCCTAATTAATATTAGTTTCTTTCTTCTTCACTTTTTCTACATCGTTTCTCGCTCATTAACAGTGTCTGGTCGGTTTAACGACCTCGGGTTGCATCCCCTAGCACTATGGCTCTCGCAACCACGATGTTTGTCTTCTGCCTCGGCCACTATCCCCACAACCGAATTCTTAGGGTTCCTTTCGTACTCGCAAGCTAGCTAGGGGAGAAACCGTCGCGCATAGTTTGAGCCGCCATAATCGCAGAATAATGCGGTAATTAAACTTCCGCCCGTGTCTGTTCATCCCTTCGTCATCAATCTCGCGTTCTTGTCGCTTTTCGACGACTGACCCACCTTGTATAGGGATCATAATGTAATTCGAGTACTAAATCATTTTATGGAGGTGCACAGATAGGATGGTTTTTGTCGAGGAATCCCTGTGATCAACAGTATATTCGACGAAATGTTGGACACGGGCGATGACAATAGATAGATTATCAATTTTCAGAAGGCAGAATAATTTTGAAGTTCTATGCATTCGTCAGCTCTCGTGTCAATGAAAACGAGCTTCAACTACTGTCAATTATCAACGTATTCTTGTTTTCCCGGACCAACGAGTCAACGCGATTCACAATGGTACAGGTTTTTTTTTTCTGTTTATCCCGAACGAATCGGTCCACCGAGCGATTCGCGACACAGGGAGAAATAAAACGCACTCGTTAGTACGTGAAATCGTTTTTGCAACAGCCCCGGTTAGCGGCCTCGAGCGTGGTCCGAGTTTAATCATATATAATTAAGCGACCTTTCGCGTTCTTTCACGCAACAGGCTGTCCATGCGTGTGCAACAACCGTCGAATCTCATTACAATGCCAAAAATGGCTCGTATTTGGCGTTACGGAGGCAAATGGCAATCAGTAACGTCGGCGAATCAGTGGCTTGATTGAAAAGCGCTCGACGATTTAACCGTTAATTCGTCCAATTCGAGCGGGGTCAGCGTCGATATCTATCATTACGTAGCATCGATAAAAATTACGTTTAATGGCCGACCATCGGGTCGGATTAACATCATTTGCCTCGATTTCATTAGCAGAGGATCACTCGTTGATGAATTCGATCGAGTTCGAGTGCACTCGATTTTGTTTCAACAACGAGCCTCCGTTTTTCCCGCTCGCTCCCTTTGCCACTCTGTTCGGGCCTGAATAAAAGAAAACAAACGCGAAAATTGCTTTCCATCGGTTAAGTGGCTACGTGCTCTCGACGATCAAACGAGGGAAAAGCGTTTAACGCGTTCACTGTCGCAGTAGATACTTGCATAATTAATTTCTATATAAAGCTTTTCACTTGCTACGTTAACGAGTCGAGCAAAATACGAACGCATGAAACTGAGTCGTTGAAACAACGAATCGAACGAAGAGTGGATTGAATCCGCAACCATAACAGAGGATACGATCCCTGAATCAACATTGAGAAACTGTCGAAGGGCGATCGAAGTGACAGGGTTTATTCGCACGAACTGCTGATCCCATTCCCTTCACACCTTTTTTTCCATGCTCGAAGAACAGTCAAGAAGATGAGTTTCGAAGTCGTACTTTGGGGAGGAACAAAAGCTATGCATAGATTTACATCGTGGCTAGGTCTGCTTTCATTCGCGACACGCCGTGAAGCTTTACGGCCATTTTGCTTCCACCACAGCTTCCAGCTTTGTCGATAATGTCTATGGGAAAATCGCTTCCTCTTAAGGGAACATCGAATTATTCCACGAAGCCCTGTTTGATCTATAGCTAACACGATTTTGGAAAATCAAACATGGTTATCGTTCAAGACCTTCGACGATCTTCCGACTTGAATGTAATTTCTGCTCTGCTGTTTTCTTAGTTATTTTCTTCCTTTAGAAACATGGTTAAATTATTCTTACGCAAGTCTCTTGAAAACGCTGAGAGCGTTGTGTAACTGAGGGGTTTCTCTTTCGGTGAATTTTCTGTTTTAAAAACATGAAAAAATAATTCGTGTAAAAGCTACGAGAAAGTAGAAACGTAACACGCTCGAAATGTTCTTCTTCTAACGATGTCATGAAAACAGATCTAAAGTCACCTCAGTGTCTTCTTTTTTAGTTTTGCCAAACAAATGTTAGATTTTATAGAAAACTTATAAAAAAATTTGTGGGTAAACAATTTAAATGCTTCAAACAGAAGCATCGATTAGTAGCATTCTATCTGCAAAGCTCGGAAAAACGTTTGCAACACAAGAATGTCGATGAAAAGCGGAAGCACAATGATCGCGCTATCGGAAGTGACGTTCAGAGTGATCCTAGCCGGTCGCTTCCATTCCGGCAGACAATAGCGGGACCGTTTGGAATTCGAATTTGTCGCAAATGCCAGTTCCATTGCACCAGACGCAGCTCGGCTAATACGACGGTGGGGCGTTTTTCACGCCGGCTGACGATTCTGCAAAGGTTCGCGATGTCACGGTTCCGCGATGCCGGTTCGTAAACCGTACGAGCCCCTCTGCCTCGTTTTTTGGCCCCTGTTTTTTTGTCCGTTTTCACGCGACAACGAATGTATTTTTCGGTTCTTCGCGGACCGTGGCACGCGACGTGCTTTCACTGAAGCGAACCGCTGATACGATTTCACTGATGAGAATGTTGTTGACTCTTTTGTGATGAATTGTTCTCGTGCACGGACTATGGGATATAAACCCCTTTCAAAGCAGTGTTCCAGTGTTTATTTATTTATTTTTTTTTTTTATTTAGTTAGATGCGAATATATTAACAAAACGATGAAACATTATTGTAAAAGAACGGGTGGTATAAAAGCTCTTTGTATTTGCTAAAATGCAGCAACAATTAAAAAAGCCTTTGAAGTTACCGAGTGAAATGGTCTACCGAGCAATAATTAGTGACGATGGTAAGATTGGAACTAGCCGCCAAAAGATGGACGCATTTGTGGTGCATTTGACGGCGTGGCATCGATGTTTGCGAAACGCCGCGCCATCCGGAAAAAGCCTTTCCCTTGGGTATTTTTTTTCGGCGTCGAAGCCGTTTGCAGAACATGACCCGTTAAGAGAAGGAGGAAGGAAGAGAGAGAGAGGAAACAGAGACTGAGAAGCAAGCGGTTGAGAGATAGGAATAAAGAGAGAACCGGGCAGGGAAATAATTTATTCGAGAGCGAGAGTTCGCCTTCGACTTGGCGTTGTCGTAGCCGATCTTAAATGAAAATGATTTCCCTGGGGAAGAAAAACCAGAGAAGGGCTGTGTAACGACGCCACGAGCGGGAAAGGAGGAAAGGGAGAAAGCGGCAACTTCTTAGACCAACTCCTTCGAGTACGAAAAGACAAGCAGCATCCACTTCTCTTCGTCCTCGAAAATACGAATGGAATATAAATTCCAACGAATTAATGTGTTTCTGTTGCTCGCGGTCTGCCGCGAGAGCAGCCCGGGACTCTTCTTCAGACCGCGTCGCGTCGGGTCGAAAGAGATTACGAGCTTTCCAACCGCTTTCGATATTCCTTTTCTTCGATCGAACCTGGCCGCTCCTGTTCACGTCCGCGCATACATTTTCCTCGAGAACCGGTTAACGGCTATTCGGGAAACGATTCGCAATACCGACGGGCAGAAATATAAATGTCGATGCGCTGGAAAGTGGTGCAATCGAGCAGGAAATTCATGGAACGTAAAATGGTAAATAAAGTGAGAAGCTCAGGAACTTTAATAGATTCTTGATACGTCGTACATTACATTTGTTACTTGCCAACTTATTGTTAGGCAAATACATATCGACAGTGGTAGAATTCTAATTCACACGTGAAAAGTGTTTCGCTCGTCGCGTTATCAGAATGCGTTTCGCGAACGAGAGGTGTTCACTGCGCTAAGGGGTGAAAGTTTCGCCCAGGGTGGGCTCGACGAGTTTCGCAGCAACACTCGACTCGCAGAGAACGTCCTCCAGCGAGGCAGCGCAGCGGCGCGAAAATTCAGGCTGATTCGTCTCTGCCAGAAGGAGGCAGGCTGTGCGGAGCAAGAGGGTAAATGACGAGGGTGGCGGAAGGACGAGCAGCGAGAACTCGTTGTTGGAGGATGAGGAGCTGGCCCTCTCTCTCGGGGCCTATTTGTAAATCAGTTCCCGGTTGCTGGATCCTGATAAACGTCCTCGTTACGCGAAAACGTGCCGGCGACGCGATTATTTAACATCGTGCGACGCCTGCAAGCAAGCAACCAACCAACCAACCAACCACCCCCCGAAACATTTGTCTCTCGGTGGCCTTTCGCGCCCCTGCTTCGTAAACCCTTGCGCCAGGGATGCGCTCTGGATCCGTCGCGTCGCGTCGTTTGCACTCTACCTTGCCCTATCTAAATTGCAAATACTCGAGCTACGAGATCTCTCGGTCGATGCACGAGACAAGCATTTGTACGAGAGGATAGTGTTCAGCATCGCATACCACTTTCCTCGAGGGGAAAATGAAAAAGCAAATAGGGATTGATCTTCTTCTATACAGGTATTAACAGGGATGTTCTAATCTAAGTTTGTAAAACTTTCCTTTCCTGATTCGATAACAGTTGATGCGATCATCGTTCGCAGTGAACGTCGCGGACAATTAAACGTTCTCTATCAAAAGGTATAGTTTGGGATAGTCTTTTGAAACGATTCGAGCACGGTTCGACACGCGTTGGAAAACTTTCAACCGCGAAACGATCGATAAGAGTAGAGTCAACAGTGTGCTCGTCGCAGCTCGCAAACTTTCCATTTGTCGGTAGAGCATAAAACAACCGGCGAGATTCCGTGGTAATGCCCGCGTAATCCGTTTCGATCGTCGCGCGCTCCTTTTAATGGGAAAACTTTCCTCCCCGTTCGCCCTCCGCGTGAAGATAACGCGTTCATAATTGAAATCTCGGACGGTTGCTGGTTTTTCCGGCCAGAGAAACGGTAGGGATAGCGCAGGGAGGAGGCCGCTTTTAATTTTTAAGCCGGTTCATACTGGTTTTACATTCTTTTAAGTGTCCCAGCTACCAGACGCGCTTTCCCCGCTGGAAATTACGCGAAAACCGTGGCCAGATACTCGCTAAGTCGTTAAGCGAACTTTTTCCACTTGCTTGGTTACGAGTGTTGGTTAAGAGAACACGAGGAAAATTTAGAATCTAGAATCTTGAGTCTAGAATCTAGAGTCTAAAATCTAGAGCAACGAGGAATCTAAAATAAAGTAAAGTGAAAGGGAAAAGGAAATCAAAATGTTGGATAACTAGTCTACGATTTTCCACGCGTGTGTCGATAACCTGACGGATTTAAGCTGTACTCATATTTGCCTGTCAAAGCTGAGAGACGCAGAAGCTAAAAGTGCACAGGTTCCGGAATAGCAAGATCGATCGAAAGAGGGTGGAAAGAGAACACCAACATTGTCGTCATCGCGGGTCTCGTAATGGAGTGCTGTTGACGCGACGTTGACGACGACAGTGAAGGATCGAGGAGAAATTTTCCTCCGTCCAAGTCCGAACGACGTTCCTGTCGATCAAGCAATTAGGCCCCGCGACTTCACTCCTCTCTCTGCCTCTCTCTTTTACTCTCCCTCCGAGAAGCTTTCATCGCGGGAAAATGCTTTTTGAACGATCGATGAAACTTTTATCGCTATTCACTGTTCGATAGTTAACGAAATTCCTTTGCTTGGCCATGCTTGGATATTATAGAGAAAAGATACTTAAATATTTTCAAACTCTTCGAGCCAGTATTTAGATGTTTAGATAAAACTTGTTATCAAAGGTGCTGGAAAAACTTGGTACTCGAAAAATATGTGTAAATCGGTGTTTATTCGCGATCCGACTGGAACGATGATCGAACTGCGCTTGAAAATTGCTCTTCCGCTAGAACATGCGATTGACAGCAGCTCGACGAGCGCGTTGAAGGATCGGGAATGGGCGTGACGCAGTTTTTACCCGGGGACATTAGTGACTTTGGCATTGTGACGAGTAAGGTCACTCGATGCCGGTCAAGAGTCTCCTTTCTGCTGCTACTCCCAAAAGGGTTTCCCAGCAAAATTCGACCCGTTGACTATCGAATGATAAACGAGAGAACTTCATCCTACCTCCCTTTTTTCCCTTGCTCCTCCGTCGATTCGACGTTGCAGTCAGATTCCGCTGATTAATGTCCGTCTAAGCTTTGCGCGGAGCAACGGTGAAAAACTTGGCTGCACGAAATTTCTAAGCAGTTCTTTGATTAATATCTTTTTCGAGGCCGTTCATCCGTTCTCGGTGCCTTTCTTTCTCGCGAACCGAGAGAAGACGATAAATTGCCTTCTGTCCGCTCGAAGCCGATACCTAAAGCTGCTCGTCTTGACTCCCCGCGCCGCGTAGCGTCGCGTCGTTGAAGCGAAACCATTTCCAAGGAATATTCCTTTGGAAAATGGAAAAATAGAAATTCGAATCTTCAATTCCCGGCTGAATCTCCAGCTCCGTTCCACGCGGATTGTAACGTTTCCGGCGTTTAAGCTCGAGATAATCGTCCCCGAACGGTGACGACGAGCAGCAAAAGGGATTCACGAGTCTCGCGCTGGTAGCCTGCAATTATTCGGTTCATTTAATTCGCGCTATGTCGACTTGCTAATGCTTCTGCTCGCGCGGAAGACACTAGAAGAGAAAAGGTGTGTCACTCGGGGGGTGTTGGTAGGTAAATTTCTCGATTGGCGGGAATCCTACCTGGTCCCGGAGAACACTCGATACCGTTCGAAAGCACGTAGGTAAGCATTTATCCCGGAATATCCTATTTATCTTGGCGCTGGAACACGCGCCGTCCCTTATTCTGGCAATTCGGTCACGTCCTACCAGTCCAGCATTTCGACGAAAACCTGCAATTTCGATTTCTTTCCCAAGATTTCCTGTCTTTCTCTTCACCTCGTTTCGAGGTTTCATCGTGTTCGTAGTCCCTACTTCGTCCCTCGTTTTTCCCAATCTTACATCGTTCTTCAGTCCCTGTAGCTACGGTTTACACACAGATTCCGTGGAAAAACGCTTTTACACATCGAGCGAGGAAAAACGTAGTCGACGAATAAAAGTGTAAACTACCGGTTGAAGGATGCGAACGTGCGACAGGATGCATCGTGTGCACGCAAATCGATTTAACCCTTGACGAGACGCGTTGCTTTTCCGCCCTTTCGACGTCGTACACTCATGAAAACAAACGGAGCCTGCAATCGTGCTCGTTTCACGCGTCGCTGAATACGGAAAAGATGGGAGCTTGGTTGTCTTCCGGAGAATCTGGGACTCCTCGAGGATGTTGTTTGGTCGTTCGCCGTGCAAATTCGTAAACGCCACTCGGAAATGATCGTCGAGACTATTCGGCGACGCTCCAGGACGCTGGCAATGTTTTTCGAGGTAGAAGCTACGCTTCTGTTTTTCCGTTTCCACGAAAAACTGAGGCTTAGTGCTATTTCCCCGCGGGAAAATTGTGGTCATGGGTAATAATACACTGAAAGTAATTAGAGGCAGTGACCATTTCACGATGTAGAGAAATTTTATATTATAATTTCTATCTCCGCCTTTTAAACCAAATATTCATTTAGCATAGAACGAGCGAGTTTTAAAACGCTGTTCGCGATAGGACTTCTTCATTACATATCCAACCAATTATCTCGCTCAAATAGTCGCGTGAATACGTTAAATTATTGCTGTCCCTTTCTCTTGGTGTGCCAATTTGTCTAGAAAAATGGAACAGGAAAATTTGCGAAACGAGCCGAGTCATGTGTACATCGAACCCCCATAGAACGCGTGAAATCTCGTTTCCAGCAGCGTATTCGAAATACGCCAAATGCAATTTCCAGTTTTACGCTCGCGTTCTTCTTCTATTTTTCACCTGCCTCATTGTTCGTTGTACTCGTCGAATGCCAGAATTGTAAAAACAATGAAGTCCCGTTACACTCCGTGCAAATACGTTTCCTGTTTTGCGAAGCGGACGTTTTCAAATTTTACAGCGCCGCGATTATACTTAAACGGCGCGAAATTTCGCGTACGAAACGCGACGTTGCATCGGTGGTTTCTCATTCTCCCTGAAACTTTGCTCGACCGAGGGAATTTCACTTAATAACCGCTTCCAATCCAGATAGAGAATCAAGCGTATTACTAATGGTTGCTTTGGTTTTGCCAAAAGTTCTACTTAATGAGTTTCGCCGTAATATTGCGCCATCCAACAATTCATTTCCGAAATGTAATTTTACCTATAAATTTACCACGACTGCCTTCCTCGTTGCTGCATCCAATCATTTTAATTACCATCTTCTTTCTCGTACAATTCAGCTTCCTCTCCCGATTACTTTGGATTTCTCTTGTTTTAGTTATAAGAATACCAGATATTCTATTCGTTAAAAATTATAATACGTTGAATATTGTAAAATAATGGTATTGAAGTCTTTGAAAAGGCATTGTAAACGATGGTAGTTCGCTTCTTGCCGATGTAATATCGTCGTTACGGGTGTACGCGCGAGCAGCATGGATGATAATATCGAAGAAAGCAAGCGAGGCTCGTTATCCGTCGATGTTAATGGTTTTATAATATCGAAACGCTGCAGGCATCGAATGTATTGAACGTTAGGCGACGCAAAATCGTGCGAAGAGATCGGCAAGACGGCGAAGGAGGAGCTTTAATCCAGAATGCGACGCCCAGCCGCGCCGTCGCGGCGCTCAATTACCTTCTTACCTCTCTGCATCCAGGCCCGTTATCGGTTTTCGATCTAAGCGACGAAGCGCGAGAAACGCAACGAGTGATAATGCCATGGCTGATATCATAAACGATAATTTAACTGCGCTTCACTTTGCCAACCTGTGCCTTCTCACGTTCTGTGAGAATTTTCCTAGGATATTTTCGGCTGGTCGAATATTTTCTAACGACACGATTTCGAATCGATAACGCAATCAGGGCTTCGCAGAAATTGCTATCGGCACGAGTGGCAACGTTCATGCTGGCAAGTTTGCACTCCGAATGCGCGACGACGTCATAAGTAAACCGCTACGAAGCGCGTGCGCGATGTACACAGTAATTATGTGTTAACTACCCGTTAAGCAGTACTTCGTTCTAATGACGTCATGTACGTCCTGCTAACGACGAAGCGATAATGCGTGGCCTGTGTACAATGCTTGAACAGCCGAACATTACAAATCTCATGAATTACCTTGGATTCCAAGTGGATCGATGATTAACTCAGAGATGTCCGTTCGATAACGGGTCTGATAAGAATGTAGGCATTTCATCAGAATTATTCTGGAAACAAGAGTTTGATTCTTTTATGTCACCTTCTAACTTAATCCTGATATTTTGCTCTTTGTATAAGGCGAAATTTTGTACGTCAGTTAAAAACGAGCACGGTTACGTGGATGTGGACAGTTAATTAACGTCGTTAATTGGGAATTCGCGTGTCCCTTTGCCATTAAACTCTCGGATATTTGTGTCCGCGTTGGTTTCAACCTTTAAACTAGATATTCGGTGAAACGTCACCCTCTCTCGTTTTACCTTTCACCTTTGCGTCCGCGTTTCTATTTCACATTCCCGTGTTATGAAAACAATTTTCCTCTTGCGCCTTTCCACCTGCTCGTTCTCTCGTCCGATAGCCTCGATTGAACGTATTAAAATCATCAAGGGATTTTTAGTTATTTTCCCTTGTAAAGTGGTTGCCTTTCTATAAATTTTTCCTCTTGAAGTCAATCATCTATCGCTTGAACGCTAGAGGATCGAGATCGAGGATCGTAATCGTGGATCGTAATCGTAGGGTATAACAGGAGGACGTGAATAGGGAGAACTCGCATTTCCCGGCAACCCCTGACCACGCAGCCACCCCCTCTGCTCGAGCTGGCATCCGAACGGCAGAGCCGTACGGCGTTAATTGATCAAATTACAGGGCCGCGAGCCGGCATCGAAATTGCAGGGCTGTCCGGCCGGTTTTCGGATCGCTCGGCCAACGAAAGAGGGGGGTGTCGAGGGGTGAGCTCACCCTCGCTGGCAAGATCTTCCAGTCTCACCCTCGAACGACCCTGCTCGCATCTCCGGAACCAAGGGTGGAGGGCCACTTCAAACCGATCGGGATGATGTTCCGCGGACCCGCTCGATCGGTCAAGTGTTCATTGCCGGTTCATTCCCGCGAATTCCGCTTTTAATTAATGACTATCCATCGACAACCCCCCAGACTCGATGATTGGTCGACAGTATCGTTGATCGTCGTCAAATTCGTGCCTATTTCCCTTACACCGTGTTACTGTCTTTATCAGTGTTATTAGAGAAAAACTTAATTTTGAAATTTAACGAAGTATTCATTGTTCGAATATCACAGGGTTGAAATTTTCAGCGGTAACGTTAGAGCCTGAACCCGTACGATTCGTTCGAATCGGTACGATTATGCATACGCTGTCGAGTCGAGACAGCCATGTCTGGAGGCTCTTTGAAAATGAGAGGTCGGCTCGAGCTAAGCTCGTAATTCACGGAATTATTAGCGGTATCGTATTAGTTGACGTGCCTCCAGGCGAGCACGATGCGAATCCTTTGGCATACCGGTCAACACCGATGAAAATTTCAGCCGGCCGAGGATGCAACGAGAACGTGCTGAAATATGATCAGATGCAAAGCGTGCGTTTGTCATAAACGCTGCATCGTTTCATGTTTCTTATAATAATAAAAAGCATCACGTTTATTCGGTGGTCCAATTAATTATCTTAGCACAGAAGCAGAGAATCATTTATCAAAAACGGATCACGTTACGGCGGTTCTCGACCGAGAAGATAGAAGTTCTCGGAGCAGGCGACCGCTATCTAAATTAAAAGTACATGAAACCCGAGGACTCGCTCGCAACTATCCTGCTCGAGAGGAGAGTGTCTTAATTACCAGTCGGTCGTTGGTCAAAGAAGGAGAAAAAAATGATGCGGCCGGGAAAGAAAGGAGCCTTTTCTAGCTTCTCACCGGGCTGAAGCTTTGAAAAAGCCCAGCGTCGGTGAATTCTACGAGGAGAACCTTGCCACTGCTACGGTACTCTGTGGGAAATGCTGTTGCTCCTGCCTATGGTATCACTTGGTGGTGGGGCAGGTTGAGGGTAACGGGAGGTGTTAATTAACTACTCGTCTCGCTCCCGTCAGAGACATTCGAGCACGGACTCGACTTAACTTCGCCTCTCTGCAGTCGTTCCCTTCGTTGGATCGTTGAAGCAGTCGGCAGATAACGCGTCCATGATGCACCGTTGAAGAGGACAACGGTGTTTTTAAGGGTAAGCACCTGGGTCTACCAGGATGACCTCGTTGAAGCTTCTGTGTTGGTGCAAGTCTGTTACCAGCAAAGGGTCGCTTTTGCTAATCTCGGCCCGATGAAAGAAATTTCAGAGAAACACGAGACGAGAATCGTCAAAACGTGCTATCTATCTATATTTGTGAAATTGAAAGCTCTTTATCCTTTGTAACGGGAATCGGAATTCAGTTTCGGCTTTTGATGTTGAGAATCGAAAAGGTTGATTTCGAAAATTGAGAAGGTTTGCGCTATTGATCACGCGGTCTGCGGCTTTCGAAATTTTAATTCGAACCAGTCGGGCAGGGGGCGAGGGGAGAGTAGAAAGGTTGGCGAAACAATCACAGAGGAATCGACAGGTAATAGCAGAGGAACTACCGAATCGGCGCAACGAATTGTCGCGTCTCTCGTATTTCATCCCCCACGGTTAAATCGATCGTGCACCTACGAGCTCGCCGAATAATTCCTGTCGCAAGCAGAATAGGTAAACCTGGAATTTATTACACGTCCGTTGCACTCGACTCGCGAGAACTCGGGAATCGGTATCAGACACTCTCAGACTCGCACCAATTATCCGTGAGTTGAATAGGAAAATGAATATATATTTTGTCGACGGCCGTGGGAGTGCCTTGTCAAAAACCCAGTTCGTTTCCTCTACGGTTTTGTTCCGTTCCTTCAATACCCGCTTATTGTTCCGTTACCTGCAAAATGTGCTCTCGAAATTGGGTTACTCAATTTGATGAAACTTTCTATAAAGCTGTTTTCGTTTGGAAAATTAAATGTATCGAATGCACGATAGACAGACGATGATCGTAGAAAGTTTCTATTTAGAAACTAATATTTCAAAGTGTCACTCACTAATACTTATTAATAGCGTCTATTATCGAAGAGTTAATTTACATCGTACGATGTAAAACGTTAAATCCATTAGTTTGAATAAAAATTCATCTTCCAAGGTATAATGGATTCAAAGTACGAATCGCGTCATCGTGCAGAAGCAAACGTTTATCGAATCCATTTGCGAGATCACGCAAACGACGTATCCGTGGTGAGACGGGTCCAACGGATCGCTAATCAGCAAGTGAAACAAAAGGATTTCCATGGCGCAGAAGTGGCACGTTTCCATGCGGATCTAAGATCTCTCGAGAGGGAGAGGATTGCCGGACCACTCAGCTACGGAGCGGTTCGTTAGCAAAAGGAGACGAAACTATAAGTCCTGGTGCAAATACCGTCGATTACGTGCTCTCCGTTACTCTCGATCCTCGTTCAACTTCATCCTCAAAGATATCCCTTGTAAATCAGTGTTCCTTTTTTTCACGATGTAGTCTAATTAGGATGGTCATCAATTCTCATTATGCATTTATATATTTCACAAATTTTTGAATAATTTATCATGGTTATAATAGATAGTTCGATGTTAAAAAAGTAAATACATCAATTGAAAGTTTCATCGATACAGCTCCTCTTTCAACTAGGTTTTCCGTTAACGAACCCATCGTCGATCATTTCACGAGCATACAATTTTTTTCCCCGCAGTCGGGGGTGTAGGAGAGGGCGCAGAGTAAGGCGGATAACGGCGGGCGATAACAGAAGGTACACAGGAAGGGGTGTCGTTAACGATCCAATACAAAGCCACGGGGCAAAGTGGATGTTACCAAGTCCCTTCCCATCTTCCCACTACTCCAACCTAGTGGCGCCCTTCGGTCCATTCGTGAAAAGGGGCGCGGAGGGAGAGATGAAGGGAGGCACAGGTCCGCCACCCACAATTCCGCTTGCGGGCACTGTAATTTGCTGTATGCATGCATCCAGAGATGGATAGACACGGCCGGGCAGCGGAGCAGGTACGGGAGATCTATGGATTTATGCAAATGCAGGCAGTTAGAGTCCCGAGCAGCCTCCGCCGTTGAATAATGCGTTGATAAGATAGGAGCCCAGCGCTCATATGCCGTTACCTACCCTACCATCCGCCATTGATTTGTCACCCTTCCGTTCTACGCCCCTCCCCTCTTCATCCGCCATTCTCTATTTCGACCGAACTTCCTTTACTTCTCCAAGAAAGTCCATCGGGTCTTGATTATGTCGTGCTATGTAATTTCTAGTCATTCTAATTACTTTTTCAATATTTTTATTTCTTCGGTATATTCATCGACCGAACAGTTTTATTTTTCATCCCCTAGCGGTAACTTCGGTATTGGCAGACTTACAGAGGAGTTCAATTTATATCCAATTTCATCTGGCCCATAGCTGAGCGTATAAACAATTTTCATCTCTAAATCTCTGGTAAACATTGTCATCGACACGTCGGCCCGGAGGCTGGTCGTTGTTCGTCGGCACAAAACGAGAATCGTGGTCGCGCGATTATGACGGCGTTTCAAAAGCTCTGTTACTCTTTTTTTTCCTCGCTCTTCCATCCTTTCCGAAAAATGCGAACGCGCTACAAAGGCTCCTACGGCCGTCGAAGGATTAGAGCGGCATCGAACACTGCATTTCCATTACAAATCGGATTTTGCCGGACGGAGGGGGTGGCCCGACTCAGATAGGGTCGAAAAACAATAACAACGATAAACAGTCGAACATCGCGCGATCCGCTTTTCCCTCCAGCTTCCATCGAGCTGTACGGCGCGGCGATCGGTATCGCGTCACGGACGGCAAACATTGCTATGGGATTACGTTCTCGAGCCTAGCGAATCGAGTTACGCGTTTGCACTTCCATGCTGGTAAAGTTACGAAGCTTCGGCAACCTTGAATTTAACTTTTCGTAGTTTGAAGAACGCTTTCCGTACGTTCAACCCCCGTAACAAGCTCGAAACAGTAAATCTTCCATTTTCTGTTTATCAGGTTAGCGATGTTTGAAGGTTCATTTTCTATTTAAATAGTAATTCTTTACGAAAAACGACCGAATCGTGCAACAAGTACCCGATGTCAGTTTCACAGAGGAACCGTGCAAATTAAGACATCGCGAAGGGTTGAAACGAGAAACGGAAACGGGAAGGTCGTTGTTTATTCGCCCGCTTGTTACCACGTTCGAATATTCCAGCTTTAAAGTGTGCACGCAGCCGTACACCATGTGTTTATAACCGCTCTAGCGATCGTGACAGTTCACGATACAGCGGAACTGACTGCGATGCGACAGCGGATGTGACGTCTGCTAACATTGACCGTGTCTTCATTCCAAATGGCAAGGTTTCCTCTGAAAATGGCGTTATCTAGATACACGCGCGAACGTGTTTGTATTCTGTCAGTTACCGTATCTCTGGCGACCGAGGACGGCAGGTAGTCGGTCTGAATGTAAAGCATCCATTAAACGTAATTTCAGGTATCTTTAATTCTTTCTCCCGTCTGAACAAAGACTGCCTTGTTGCTCGAGCGAGTTAGAATATTCCGAGCACGAAACTTGGTCGACTTTGTTCTTACTAAATTATGCAGAAAAATTTGGAGTCACTCGGTATTCGCTGTTATTTCGAATTAACGATTGCACAAGATTCCCGTTATCAAGCAAACAACTTTATAGAGCTTGTTCAAGTCTCTAACAATGTTTCTTGGAACGGTAGCTTCCGTGGAGATTCAGTTTCGCGATTAAAATCTCAACGAGAACGAATTGCAAACCGAACGTGGCAATTGCTTTATTAAATTACATCCTGGCAAAAAGGGCCGGTCGATTCATAAATAAAAACGATACCGATCGGCCGACGAGTCTCGTAATTAACTGCCGCGGAAGGGAACGGACACGTTACGGTATCGGTCGCATAAACCAGTCTTACTGTGATTTCATCGTGATTTTACGCGGTCCGAACTCCATTTTATTATACGATTCCCAACTTGTCTCAATTACAATCTATTCATTACTCAATTCTACAAACAACGGTCAAGATATCGGGAACGCATAGATATGTAGCATAGATCGATCATTTTACATTGAACAAATTCAAAATCGTAGGCGTCCGAATTTCGGGCAAAGAGTTTTCCCTCTTCGTTCGCAACTTCATCAAGCCCTTACCTCTTCGCACATTGAGTTCGCACAGATAAAATGGCGCACACAACGCGTGGACTACACTTAAGCCTGAGTAGCGCTTGCGGCAGGGTAGGCGAAGAAGAGTGGCGCCGTCTAGTGTTTCAACGGGACCATTCGTCGGACGGGTAAAAGGGGTTAGGCTAAGTGGCAAATAAAGGGTAGTGACGAGGTTCGAGTGGTGTCTCGTTTTTCTTGCCACTCTGCTACACTCGTCAAGATAAGGGGGGCCTCTGTATAGCTTTTCGGAAATGGAGGGTCGTCGCAAAAACGATACTTCCTGCAGTTAAAACATTTTACGTAAAACAGAGGCTACCCTGGTTTTTATGTAAGTAATGAACCTGTCCTTCATACCGGTACCTCGTGCGTCCGGAAAGTCGGCGACGCACGGGACTTATTTTCGTCTATGAAAGACGAATTTCCATTGCAATCACTGTTATTTCGATGCAATGCCAATTGCGACTTCTTCTCAGTTCCTTTTTCGACTTGGCACGAAACGGAATGATGTCGTTTAACGAGAGGAATAAACTTTTGCAATCACTCCGTTCCATGCGTAACGATGTCAATGGCGTTTTGAGGTTTCTCCGCTATTTTCCGGGGCGCAACAGCGAAGTCACGATTCGCGATGGGAGCTTTTACGAGCTTAGCCAGGGAAGGAGGAGGAATGAGAAAGAACGTTAAGATGACACCGTGGTCGCATCAACAGAAACGGCTTATTCTTTCGCTGGTGCGGTCATAAAGGACCCTCGGCAGGACGAAGTTAGCAGGGTATAACGGTGCACATGGACGGACACGTAGCGCCGTCGTTTATTCCGCTTTACGCTTACACCGTGCCGACGGAAGATGGCTTATGAACTTGACGCGTTTTACCTTTTTCCCTTGGAACGAGGGAAAATAATTGTGGTCATGCTTGGACAGGCAATTGAAGCGAGGAAAGTTGTAAGATTCTGGAAATAGGAAATTTAACCGTTCCCTAAACAATGGTCTTATCGTTACTCTGCAACAGTCGCTTCTTAATCATCGCCTGTCGCTTATCACAGTAGCAAATGCTTTTTGAAGCGTGCGTTGCGTACTTCGCGTAGCGTTTACGCGTCCCATTTAAAACGTATCATCCGCGGCTAACTTACGACTTCGTTCTGTGCTGCCATCATAAAACCAGGAACACGACGTCGCTGATGATGCGATAAATTTTAAGCGTTATAAAAAATTTTGTCGCCATACGCTTTTCAACGACCGTGCTGCCATATTCTGAAAACAATCTGAGAATGAAGTGAAGTTTTCTGGAGTTATCAGCGTCGTTGCTTTCTGTTACGCTTCAAGCTTTCTCGACTAGATTTTTATGTCGAACGGGATTGACTCGTCGATGGCGTCTTGTTCTTTTTTTTTTTTTTCGAAGATATCTCGGACGAGTCTGTAGCAATCGAACGGTTGGCGATCAAAAGGAAAGACGAAGCGGAAGCGTTCGGGTAATAAACGCTCGACTCTGCCGGCGAAACGTTTCGCATCGGCGGGGTAAACAGAAAAAAAACGGCAGGAAGTCAAAGCGGCAGATAAAAAGGAAGTTTATTACGTAAATGAAGGAAGGTGATGGGGAAAAACAGGGAAAAGTTTAAAGCGAACAGGCGCGTAAGACGCGCGGAACGCGAACTTGCGATGCCGAGCGAACTAACTTCTAATTAAAGGCTGCCGCTCGATGGGAACTTCTCTATTTTACTTTCTTAAACGTTTACCGGGAATATTTTAATTCCACGTCGACGTAATTAGGCGTTTTACGTTCGCCACCCCAGTAACGATGGGGGAGAAAAAAATGATTCGAAAGCTGCGCGAACGAACGTAAGTTGGCGAAAGCTCGTTTAGCTGACGTTTAATGGCCACGGCGTGTAACAACGGGCACGTAATTTATAAATAGCAGCTTGTTGCGAGTCTTTTATGAATTCTTGTAATAAACGTTTCGACTTGAACGTCTTTTGTTCCTTGTTAGCGAAGAAAAGAAAAATCGATCTTTGGTGTCATCGTTTGTACAGAAATTTTCAAACAGTTGTTCAAATCTTGAATCCTGCGTTTCTTGACGAAATTAGTTAATCATCCGAAACGTTGCGTTTCCTAATCCACGTCACTGGAGCACGGATGAAGGGAACAAGGGGATGGAAACATAGAGAAGAGGGTCAGAGGTGGGTGGCTAAGACCGATCTAGAAATGCAGGTCGGATAATTGTACGCGATTGAGCCTCGTAAAGCCAGGACTTGGAGCTCCGATCCAATTAACGACAGTGGTTTGTTGCCTGGCGTACAGTTGATTGAACTGCTGGAGGACACCTAACTCCTGGCAGAGGTGTTCTCTTTACGATATATACTTTTAGTGCAGCTAGCGAACGGTAGCTGGTTACGTACTTATCCGGTAGACGTCGTAAAGCACTCGAAAACCGGTGGAGAGCAGCACGGGATGAAGTCTCTCGCAGTTTTCTCTTCCCTTTACCTCTCCCCGCTAGTTCACCTTTCTTGCTCTTTTCTCCAACCTTTCCCTCTATTTCTTCCTGTCTTTCTTTTCTTTCCTGCTGGAAGATTAAACCTTATCTTGCTGCGAGAGAACGTTAATTCTGTCTCGACGATAGGATGGCTTCGATTCGACGACGTTGCTGATTGCGTCTTTTCCATCAACGATCTTTGCACTCCACGCGAAGATTTCTTCTTTCCGATGCTACCTGTTTCTTGTTGCGACCTCGCGCCAAATTCGAGCAGCTCGTTTAACGGCACTACCGATGCCTCTTGACTTTAATTGAATCGATAAGGGAATGCGATATTTCCTTGAAACGGGTTCGGATGTGTTCGCGTGAATTTGATATTATTCCGTTTTTCGTCTGTTAATATTAGTAATGAAAATACGATAGCTTGATCCAGTTAAAAAATTCACATCCCATCGAAAAGTAATAATTATACTCTAACTAGAAGCAGAAACATCGTAAATCCCATCCCAAGTAGTTAAGGTTCATCTGAAAGTTTTCTTGTCCCTCCACGGGATACAGGAACACGGTGGAAAGAACGACGAATACCATAGACGCGACAACGATATTGAAAATATCTGGCTGAATTGGAAATCCATATCCAGCCGGAGAAGAGAGACAGAAGAGGTTTCGTTGGTATTTCGATATCGCGTACACTGCCTTGATCTTTCTCTCTCTCTCTCTCTGTTCGGAGAGAATCATCCCTGATGGGCCGATCGTGGGCCACGCGGGCTAGGGCTATCGGAAATGGATTCCGCCTCTCTTTACCTTCGTCTTACGTCTAATAACCGACTTCTCCATAATGCATAAGGCAAAAATGCTGAAGTTTCCCCTATTGTTGAACGGGACAGTTCGCGTTGGTGTCGTCGACGTGTGGGTGAATACATATCGATACCGAACACCAAGTTTCGACCATGTACCATCCGCTTGAATCGACGCTTTTTTTCTCCTCTTTCTCGCCTTCTTCAAGGATTACGCTTTTTCGCGGCAATTTACATGGAAACGTCCGCGTCGATTCGCGACACCTCTCGCTCTCGAGCAGAGATTCTTCGCGGCTCGGCGCGAAATCAGTACTCGTCGCTCTGACGACCGTGTGTTGTCGTACTGAAATTTCACGATTCAGCCGAATAAAATGTGTCGGGAATGAAATTTCACGATTCAACTGGCGCTCGGCGGGCCGTCTCGTAGATGGAATAAAACCGAGGGGGTTGAAAACGGTCCCACTACTTTCGTTAGTATCGTTCCGGAGAATCGAGGGGAACGAGCACGACTGCTGCTTCTTCCATTCGTATAAACGTTATCCCATGGATGGAAATCTCGTACGATTGCAGGCTTGGAATTTTCTTTGCGGCACTTTGAATATTGTTGCGAACGAAACGACTATGGATATTGGCCAGGATGAAACCTTTCGAATTATTACCACGATTCGCGTGGCTGTTGGTACTTTTACAGAAAAATGTGTGTAGTTTCATTTTGCAAATCAGCTAAGGTGTTTAAAAAGTAAATTTAATTTTTCATGTACTATTACTCTGAATGAATTGAAGCTTAATACCAATCGTAGCGCCGTTTCGAGGCTAATTCTACTTTCTGCCCGCGAAAAGAGAGCGCGGACACTGGAAGCCATTAAATTAAACGTAGGATGTTCTAATTTGTGATCTTTTCTTTCCCACTGGTATATCGCTAGTGCAAATTTTCCTTCCTTTCAGCTACGCTTCTCAGTCGCCTCTGTCTCATTGTTAACTATTTCTATTCGTTTGCTCTTAAAACGACAGCCTTTCAGAGCGTAATGAACACTCCTTTTTCTCGTTTCTTTTCTTTGCTCTTAGCCAAACGAACGCTCTTCTCTCTTTCTCGATCTTCTTCACGCTTGAAACGTTTCTTATTTCATTCTTGCTTCTTATCGAGCCTTTATCATTTCTCATCCTCTCATCGACCGTGTCACCTATTTTTTCCATTTTCTCCTTTCTTCGTATTCACGAATTTCTTCCTTCTCTTTCGTGTAGTACCGGCGAATCTATGATACGTATACGAACATTAACCAGCTGCATGGAGCGTAATTTTGATGTATGTAACTGCATTGACCAGCAATTCGATAAGCGCCTTATGGCTTATGATAATACGCTTAGCTCGTGAGAATTCAGCAAAGCCTGTGGCCCGTTGCACACCGCAGAAATTATATCGTACAACGTTCGCCGAACAGATGGTCACGCGTGACTTCGACCACCGCCATTACCTCCGTTACAACGTGTTTGCACTAATTCGCAGAAGCGGCTGCGATACGTGGACCACGATTCAATTAGTTAGCAGCAATTTGTTAATATGCTAGAATAAAAGATTTCAATTTTCAAAGGCGATTATAGGGAAAGGGTCTCCCGAGCGAAACGTTCGAATATTTATTAACTGTATCGCAAGTGGAATACCAACTACTTGACTACTTTCACTCACGATATAATTAGAGAAAGCACACACTTTGAGCTACTTCGTTTGCGTAACTAACGTATTCTAAGAAGACGAGCGGCGTTGGTTTTTCGCAATAGACCCGTCATATGTGCTTTGAATGCAGCGTGAAGGAACACGTGGATAATAAGTACATATACCAGTTCGTCGTCGAATTGGGAGACGGTGTTGTAAACGGGTGTTGTAATTTACGTGTCGTTTCGTCAACGAAACGTTCTATAGAGTTAGCTGGTGTAATATTGCCTCGTGGAACTACGAATTACGGGGAACGACGGGGCTCTTTTCGTTGAAGAATTGCGCTTTGAGGGTGAACATAGGAGGATGCTGATGGGAGTAATGGAAGATTACAAAGCGCGTCTGATGAGCTGTTTTTATGGTCCCTATTGTAGGAATTGTTTTAGAGTAATTTCGACGTGCACAATAACATCATCGTGAAACAATAACAATAATAGAACCTTATTTAATCTTGTAACAAAGTTCACAATAATGGTCTATTGTGAATGAACAACGAAATCGCGAGGGGTTAATTCATTCTCACATTTTCATATTTCATAATATTTTACTATACTAATGAATATTTAAGGAAGGATTTTCTTTCCTGACTTCTTCTCCCGCAGAGTCCCTTAGTTCTTTTATACATTTCTTTTTACGACTTTCTTATTATACATGTAAAGCGAGGAACAATGGTCGGGTTATGCAAACGAAACGTCCACGAACAAGAGGCAGGATTAGGATCGAGTCGATTTGAACTAGTTTGCTAAAGGACACTTAATTGAAATGAATGTAAATCTTCCGGAATATCGCGGGAACATAGGAGAACCAAGGAAGACATTTTCACGTTTCTGGTTCACCGGTTTCAACTTTGAGAGTTAATTCCTGTTACATTTTAATCATTCTATCAAACCGTCTAGGAAATGTAAGTGACAAATAAAGAGGAGCCCTTCGCGACGAAGTTGCCAACGATTCGTTCGTTTTTCGTCGCTCGAACAAGCGTCAGAGTGGGTGAAAATCGCGTCGCGACAAGAACGTTCCGCGGTCTCGACGGAAATGCGTTTCTTCGATGCTACCACGTCGCTTCCTGTTCGTTCTCACGAGCGAACTGCATCCTACGTGCGCGAGAATCATCGCGATTTTCTCGTCCTCGATTTTAAGCAGTCCTGCCGTGTTATCGTTACCGTACTCCACCTGGAACGGGTCTCGACGTTGTTGCAACGACCCCCTCGGCAACCCTGCATCATCCCTTGCTCTCTTTTTCCTGCGTGTCGGAGATAGAGCAAGAATAAACAGTGCCAGGTATCGATCGAGGAGCGTTCCTTCGAGTCGATGTGGCAATGTTGTAACGTTGATGGAAAAAGAAGCGGAAAAACACAGAGAGATAAATAAGGGATAATGGGAAAAATAGAAAAAGAAGGGAAAAAGCGATGGCCGTCTG